CCCCAAAACCCCAAAACCCCAAAACCCCTTTTTATATATTATATATTGCAATGAAAAACCTTAAAACAAGTATGACCAAGCCTAGCTTTGAGAGAGAGCAAAGCGTTAATTCAGAGATTGATAACATCAAACAATGGAAACACAGCCCTACAAAGGTACGAATTTTAAGGAATCATTCTAATCTTTTGTATATATAGAAGATTATTAGTGGGCACAGTTCTAATAAAAGTTCTATATTACAAAGCACTCCTCAGCCTAATAAGAAGGATTTCATGCTGAAGCTATTAGCAGAGATGGATACACCTAAAGCTAAATTAGCACTATCCAGAATTTAAGAACATTAGAGAAATAAACTTGAATGGGTTTACGTCGATGACTGAAGGAATGACTTCTCTCCCTACTTCTGCTTTAAACAGTGGTAGTAAGAATCAGAGCTTACATAGGTTCTCTAAAGGGTGTACTCAAGACACTATAAAGATAACTTCCCTTCTGAGAGGTGCCCTCAGCACTCATGAAGATGCTAAAGCATCTCCTAAAATAAGTAAAGAGAGTAGATCTAAGAGAATATCATTGATTCAGAAGACGATACAGAAGAATATTCACTTAAAACGACCAGAAAGTTTTGAAAGCACCAGGAGGAATGTATCTGAAGCAAGGAAAATTTCAACTTTAGCTAAATCGAAGGCTGATGACAATTTTACAGAAAACCTAATGTTTTCATCAAAATTGCCTGAACTAAACTAGTAAATTTATTTTGGTTTATTTTTATGAAAATTATGGGTAACTTTTTGCACAGCTTACAAGACAAAAAGAAGCTAAAGCTTCAACACAAGTATCACTGATCGGAGCTAGCAGCTCCATCGACTATGAAGTTTGCTACCAATACAAATTTGTTTTCTCCTCCAATGAAGAACCATAAGGCTAAGGTAAATATTTTGGACGGTTGGCTAAGAAAATCTTTGGAATTAAAAGGACTTTTTAATAATCCCAATATATTACTAAATTAATATCCTAACTTTCTCAGAATCTATTTTCTGTAACTGGCTAAGTCAGCTAACCTCGCCACTTGATTCTAACCGGTATAGGCTGTTGAGAAAACTTCAACTCTGAAGCTAAGAAATCATTCAGTACATATACCAAATTTCTTCACTCCTTCAAAGCCAATGCAGATGAGGAGGAGTAAGAAGAATAGAAGTAGTAAGTTTTGGATGGAGCCAAGCAGATTTTGATGTAGAATCCTTATCAATCTTCTACCATATATCTAGATAATTTAATGATCTATTATTGTTCATAACCAGGCCATAAATATACTACACAAGCTGCTAGGTTGCCTGGTTTTGGGAAACCTGGATTACCTGATTATCTGTTAAGGAATTAACAGTGGAAATTGCTCATATTTTAAACTTTCAGAGTAATTAAAATATTCCATTAGATTTTCTAGATTTCAGATCATTATTGAGTATAGATAGAATCTCATTCGGTCAAAAATCCAGACTAGATAATATATTTCTTAAAGAGGATGAAGAAGATAACCTCCAGGGGTGAAATGATTTCAAAGATGTAGTCAAGTGAATCCAGACTGCTTTCCATAGTAAGATATCTGATTTTTTCTCTACTTTGTCATAAACTTTCTTCTTTGGAATTTCTCACAAAATTTGGGAAAAAGGAGTCTTAATGATGTGTAGAAAAATCATTAGGACAGATTAAAGATGAGATCAAGAGTATAAATAAGGACAATTCTATTAAAAGTGTAAGCTTATGTCATAACCTTTAGAAAATACATCAAGTTTTATCTATAACAGATCATTCAAAATATTGCTTTGAAGAAAGCTGATTTTTGCTTCAGGACATAATGATTGTCATTATAGATAGTTTGTCATAATCTAAATCAATTGTTTTAGTTATTATCAGCCACTAGATTGAACAATTTTAATCTCTGACAAGTTATTCATGCTCATACGCTGTGACTACATTGGCAGTATTATTTCCAAAATAATGATCTATTACGTCAAAATTATTCATCTTTTAAACCCACAACTTCTTACATTTATATTGTAGACCAGAAGAATCTAGAGAACACTGTAATAATGAACCTGATCCAAGAGAACCGTAATAGGTAGGATAAGTCTTTAAATTTAGGAAATTCAAAAGCACATTAGGCGACAAACTAGTACAACTCGAGACACTTGACCAACTAGAATTGAATTAACGACCCCCAAACCCAAATTACAGATTCAATAACACCATCAACATAAGGGGTTTTGGGGTTTTGGGGTTTTGGGGTTTTGGGG